CTGGATGGCTTCCTCCATTACACCAGCAAGCCAACTGTCCGCATCTACCGACATTCGATCAAAAATGGAGATTCTTTGCATGGAGCTACAGGCCCATCTCTGTCACCACATGGAGGCAATCGACAAAAAGAAGACATTCTTTGTCGACAAGTGGGAGCGCAAAGATGGTCATGGTCGTGGAATCTACTGCGTTCTACAAGATGGTGCGGTATTTGAGAAAGCCGGTGTCAACATTAGTGTGATATCAAGCGAACTTACAGAAGCAGCGCTTCATCAAATGCGCGAACGACTACATTCCCTCAAAACCGACAAAAGGCTCAAATTTGACGTCGTCGGCATCAGTTCGGTCAACCACCCGCGCAACCCACACGCGCCTACAATGCACTTCAATTTTCGCTTCTTCGAATTGACTGATGAGGATGGCGAGAAAGTGTCTTCGTTAACATTCTTATGCAACGACAAGAAGCAGCTGATGAGCTGTCTCGAAATTTGTTGATATCAATGAATTCTGCTGTTTTTGCCTGTTTTCAATTGTGAATATGTCATCCACATTTATTCTATATAAGTTTGTCTTGTTAAGTCTTGATGACGCTTTTTCTTCTAGATTATCCATAAAAACATCCGCAAATGTTGGCCCTTACGAACTGCCCATTGCTTCTCCGTCAATTTGTCTGTAAAGTTGTCCATTAAATAGAAATTTAATATTTTTGGTGCAGAGTAAAAGTAATTGGCGCACTATTGCAGGTGACAGGCAAGAGAATTGGTCGTAAATATATATCGTTTTTGTGCGTTTTACGGAGACCGTATAGTCTAGGGATATGCGCACCTCTGGGCTTTAGGGACAGCGCAGTCGAGGAGTCAATTAGGTTTTCGTCTGAAAGTTTTGTACTCATTTTCCAGACAGAGTTTTCTATTGTCTTAAATTCCTCTTTACCTGACGTCTCTAGGCGAAATTTGCTCTGATCGCTAATAATGGATTCCATTATTCTTACATAGTCCTTCCGGTTAAGGATGACCACTTCATGGCCTTTATCGGTTTTGGAAATGGTGATTTCTTCATTATGCTTCAGTGCAGAAAGAGCATCTATGTGTTCTTTAGTCAGTGGTGTCAGTTGTGTTACTAGAGCTTTGCGGTACTGATGCGCAATGTCGAAAAATTTGGCCTTCACCGAGTTCACATCACCAGTTGATCGGGGTTATAGATCTGTTAGCTGAGAATTTAGGTCTTCAAATTGCCCCTCAATTTCAATTGGGTTTATTCTGCGGTTTGGAACCCAAAAATCTAGTCCTAATGATAAAGCTTCCGATTGGAGCTTAGTTAGTGCAATTTCAGATAAATTGAGAATAAGTTCATCTATGTTCGGAGGAAACTTGTCACCAATAGATGTCTTGCATAATGTTTTCCTTAATTTAAGGCCGTAAGTCTCTTTTGTTCTCTTTTGTATAATACATGCATGTTTCATGAACATTAACCAACAGTAGAAACTTGTCTTATCCAAAGCATGGTTTGCCTGATCCAAGCGACATTTGTTGGTACAGACATGCGCCATCAAGTCTTCAATTCTTAATTGTGTAAGGCGGTCCAGATTTGTAATGGTTGGACGCAATTTTTCTAAACGGAGGGCCTTGTAGAATCCCACTGGATATTCCTTGCTATGAATGCAATTCTGTAGAAATTTATTGTGTGTATTGTCCTTCGTTATTTTGCAACGCAATTGTAAAAGTCTTTGCAGAGACTTAATTGTATCCATATCCCAAATGTTGACTTAACGTCCGTCCTTAATCGATTAATTTTTAAACTGACCCAAGTTCCTTGCTGTTGTTAGTAATTCTGGGAAATTCACCACTGCTGTATGTATCCTCGTTATCCTTATTATGCAGCGACAAGTAGTAGTTGATGAGCTGTCATGAAATTTGTTAATATCAATAAATTCTGCTGTTTTTGAATGCTTCCAAACTGTTGTTCTCTGTCTCCGATCTTTTCAACGTTATTGTTGTATTCTGCCAAAATTATTTTCAAATTGTATTCTCCAGCTTTTGATCTAATAGATTTTTCATCAGTTACCTGCTATTTATTTTTTTCTCAAGCTTTTCAGATTGATGAGGAACACTTTTGCCTTTCTTGTCTTCAGTTTCATTGTTAATCTTCAAAATTATATGATAGGTTTACATTTTTCCGATCATGTATCTACAGCAGCTCCGTGGAACTACATGCTGCTTTAAAGATAAATTTTGTGATGAAATAAATGTGGCCTGTTACACCTGATATGCAATAACTACCTAAAATTAAATATGTTAAGCCTTAGCTGAGTGAATTATGTGTGTTTGTTCCGATACAAAAATGTTTAGATCAAACTGTTGGAAAGAAACCTTAGCCATTTTATTCGCCCCACAGGTGAGTTTACTTTACTCTTCTTGCTGTAGCTCGTGCATGCGGAAACCATGAATATATATATATATATATTCACTCAGAAATGTGCGAACACCGATCGAAT